TCCCCGCCCCCTTTTCCAGAATAGAGCTGCGCCTTTACAGCTCGGACCTGCTAAAAAACATCTGTTTTGGTTCTTATTATCATGTTTATCGCGCTGAAATCATGCGTTTTAAACCATAGTAGTTTAAACTTCTGATATAAGGTTTTCTGAGAGCACACATCCGAAGCACACGGACAGAAAGCGGCTGTCACAGCATGTGAGTACTAAACAAAGTTCTCATTCACACACAAGTTTACGTTAAAAACACACGAGTTACAAAAACAGTCGGTTATGTCTGTGAAGGTAAACTGCTGGGAAATAAATCGCAGGTTTATTTTAGATCTGTGTGGCAGCAGCAATATACAGTAAATAAATCAATAAATCCACTGCTCTGTTGTCTCATATGAGGCTGGGACTCTAAATAGTGTTCTGTGCTCGTCTGTGCAGCCAAAGACCGTGTTTTGATCAAACTTTCGCCATGGCATTAGAGCTGGTACACAGTTGTCGCTTGCAAAAACACAATGACGGTGCTGTGGGTGTATTACATTTTCAGCTTAAGGGGCGGTAATATTATAATGAGATCCTTTTGCAACATCACCAAGGGAGCAAAATCAGATGCGCTTGTTTTCTCAGATGCTTGCAGAAAAAGGCTTACCAAAACAAAGTTACTGGGTTAATCTTTTTCACATTACTAGAAAAGTCAGATTTTCATGATATGTCACCTTTAAACACCGACTGAAACACCTACTGAGCCCAAATTACACTCATAAATGGCCTGACAGTAGTGTTGTCTTACTGTGACACAATCTGGAACTTAAAAAATTATTTTAAATCAATTTCATCCACAGTTTCCTAATGTTACACCATGTCTAGACTGGATGTAAATGGCACACTACTACGCAACAAGACTAAATACAACAGACCCCATTATAATCAATTATTCTGACTAAACACAACACACAAAACAAAACAAAACACAACAAATCACAGACAGTAATCATACTGTACAGTACTTGCACAGTAGATGTTAATTGTGTTTCATTAATCACAGAAATAACCACTTTATTTTCCCCAGCACTAATAAATATTGTTTCTGAAAGTGCTAAAACCATATTGAAAAGAGCTTATGTCACACCTCTGTTCATCAGTTTGCACTGGCTACCAATAGTTACTCGCATAACATTCAAGGCATTGACGTTTGCCTACAAAACAACTGGCTCTGCACCCCATTACCCCATACCAGACTTATGTGCCCTCCAGAAGCTTGCACTCTGCAGGTGAACAGCAAATTATAGAAAAATGGTTCTAAACAGTACCAGTAAAGGGTTCTTCGGCTTGTAACAATAGCAGAACCCTTTTTAGTGCTAAATAGAATTTTTTTTATAGGGTTCCATATAGAACCATGCTTTGAAAATGCTATATAGGACCTTATTGGTGTTATAAATAACCTTTTTAATTACATTTTTCATTAATATTAGTGTTAATATCATTAATATTAGTATTATTTGTATACATTATTTATTAATATTGTTTTTTACCCCTCTGTCTGCCTGGTCTTATAATATCTTGAAGTGTTTAGGGTTTTACATAAAATCAACAACAACAACAATGTGTCAATTAGGTACTTTTATTTTATTTTTTTATTATGTAAAATTGTAGCAAAAATTACAGTGTTCTAACAACAGTTAATAGCAGAATACATTAATGAATGACAATGGACATTGAATATAAATAAATGCTTAAAGAAGTAAAACAAAATAGAACATAAAATAGTGTATTGAAGACCAAGCTCCAGTGAAATATCTTCACAATCCTCTATGATGCCTTTAAGTTAATCATTATCTGTATTTTGGTGGGATTGAATGGCAGTTTCTCTCTGCAGATGATGAAGTTGTAGGATGTGACATCATCTGAAAAGCACAATTGAGTTTAGATATACAATGTGTCTTCTTTCATTTGTTTATGTGAAAACAATTGTTTATGAAGGCCAAAAGTAGTATGTGAGCACTTCACAATGTTAAAAGGAAACGTAATATAAAGTCAAGGGTAAGGGTGTGTTTATGCATAAACCCTAGTAATGAAAAATATCTAACAAAATGGACCAAAACTTCTATATCTTTGTTACTTAGTGAAGAAGAGGAAAGTATCCTTAACTGAATAGAGCTGGTCACACCACATGTTCTCTTAAACTAAAAAGAGAAAAGACATAGGAAACCAATGTTTCCAAAGTTATAATTTATAGACATTTTAAGAAAGAAATAATTGATTATTACAATACCTGTTGAGAGTGTGTTGACAGTCTGTAGTTGGATGGCTGAGCTCCAGAAATTCAGTAATGAGGCATCTTAGAGTGTAGCCTCGGTTAGGGTTTTAGATTAAAACAACAATAACCACAACAGCAGCATGTTGTGTGAATTATGTTTTTATTAACATGCAAAATTGTCAGTGCTCTTAACAACAGTTATTAGCTGAATACATTAATGAATGACAATTGACATTGATCATGAATAAATACAATTGGCCAAGCATGTCTCCAGACCTAAACCCTATTGAGCATCTGTGGAGGAGCGCAAGGTCTCTAACATCCACCGGCTCCATGATGTCGTCATGGAGGAGTGGAAGAGGACTCCAGTGGCAACCTGTGAAGCTCTGGTGAACTCCATGCCCAAGAGGGTTAAGGCAGTGCTGGAAAATAATGGTGGCCACACAAAATATTGACACTTTGGGCCAAATTTGGACATTTTCACTTAGGGGCACTTATATATTGTTGCTCTTTTGTTAGTTTTGACTGCTTTTATTGTCCTCATTTGTAAGTCGCTTTGGATAAAAGTGTCTGCTAAATGTAAATGTTTATACATAAACCCAAGTAATAATTAAAAAACATAACAATATGAATTATAAATTCATTGTCTCTTTTACTTACTTAGTGGAGAAGAGAAGAGAAGTTTCCACAGCTTAGCAGAGCTGCAAACACTTATATGTGGCAAAAACTACAAAAAGAGATAAGAACATGTTTGTTTGGAAACCGGTTACATTTTTAATGTTAAATTTGTATTCCAATTTTAAGAATGAAATCATTTACCTGTTGAGAGTGTGTTGACAGTCTGTAGTTGGATCACTGAACTCCAGAAAATCAGTAATGAGGAGCTTTAACAGTTACAGATTTGAAAAACAAAAGGGCGGGAATAAAGAACCCTAAAGTCTAACACAAAGAACCATTTCAGCATGAAAGGGTTATTCAGAATGCTATGGTTCTAAATAAAACCATTACTGCATGTAAAGAACCATATTTTTTTTAGAGTAGTGACATCCCAAAGAGGCACAAAATCACTCTCACTGACTTTTACATTAACTGTTCTCTCCTGGTGGAATGACCTGCCCAACTCAATCCGAGCAGCGGAGTCCTTAGCCATCTTCAAGAAATGGCTTAAAACACACCTCTTCCATCTTGACCCTCTAACACTAGCACTCTCTATTCTATTTCTATTCTAACTACTCTTTTTCTTTTTATTAAAAAAAAAAAAAAACCTTCTAACACTAGCATTCTCTATTCTTTTTCTATTCTATCTGTTTTGTTTTGATTTATTATAAAAAATTACCCTCTAACACTAGCGTTCTCTATTCTTTTTCTGTTCTTTCAACTTTTTCTTTTTATTTATTTAAAAAAAAAATAACCCTCTAACAATAGTGTTCTCTATTCTTTTTCTATTCTATCTACTTGTTTTCTTCATTTATTCTGCTGATTAGTGTCCATTTGTGCTGATAAACAGCAACTTTGTCACGAATCAAGCCTCTGTGGTTCCCCCTGATCGACACCAGAGGGCACTTTCACCTGAGTAGTAGTTTCCTCTGGACTTAAAGGGTCTAATTTTCCTAATAATTTAAAGTACAAACCTACATGTCCAAGTCATTGTTGTGATGTGGGTAGAAAAGCTCAGCTGGTCATCCAACACTACCCAAGGGTTCATAGTTGTCCTGGTTGGTGTTATTGTTGTGGACGCCGGTTGCACAGTGATGTTGTTGTCAACTGATGGGTTTACAGGGATTACCAGGTGATGTTCCTTCATCCAAGCAGAGATGTCTGATTTGGCAGGCAGAGATATGAGCTGAAACTGGTGTCATCAGGTTGAAATGAAAGATATAAGACCAGCTCCCCCATCTCTCCTAACCTAACTAGGGGTGTGAGGGAAAGAGAAGCTGTTAGAGAGAGCAGCAGGGGTTGCTGTATCCTCAGGTCAAATCCAGGTCTCAGTCAAGTCCAAGATACTAAGAGCTGGCTGAGTAGCAAAGGCTGGAATTAAGTTTTATTGGCAGCTGACTGACATTTCCAGAGACCCAGAGAAAGAGAGAGGTGTAGATTGGATACAGGTTAGCAAGATTGCGTCGTCCTCTGTGTGTGATGTCCGAGTGTTGTTGAGAGACAACAGGAATGTACTGAAAGCACATGATGATTGTGAAAAGAGGAGAAAGAAGAAAGTGGAGGACAAATTGAAAAAGATACTTAAGTGCCTTGTCGGTGTCCTTACTCAATGGACTCGCACCGGTAGACTCGCAGGTCTTAACCTTAGTCGGTCTTCAAACGAGGAGGGCTGATGCTTCGCTTCTGCTGCCGCTTCAGTGCCAGCACAAGGACATCAATTAGATATACAGCTTCCCTTGTGAATACTTAAGTGCGCAGCTAGAATAATTTTTCAAGATCACTGACCAACCAAACACTTTATCTTCAGTTTTATGGGACACTTTCAAAGCCTGTTTATGAGGCTGCACCAATTCCTTTAAAGGGGTCATATGATGCGATTTCAATTTTTCCTTTCTCTTTGGAGTGTTACAAGCTCTTGGTGCATAAAGAAGATCTGTAAAGTTGCAAACACTAAAGTCTCAAAACCAAAGAGATATTCTTTATAAAAGTTAAGAGTTAACCACGCCTACCTAAAACGGCTCGTTCTAACACGCCCCCCACATACCTACGTCACGATCTGGGAAGACAAAATAATGTTCTTTTTAGCAGCATCTTATGACCCCTTTAAAGGGGCAAAAAAGAGCAAAATAAAGCTGCTCTGCAATCTACAGCTCACTCAACTAAAAAAATAGAGAATTTGCTGAGGCCAAGACCTGATTATATCTTCCCTTTCTTCTTCGCTTTGTTCCCAGGCTGTTCTTTTGCAGTCTTGCTCTCCTCCTCCCTTTGAGTCGCAGAAGAAAGAGAGGCTGCATAGACTTTGTTCTGTTAGAGCTTTGAGGATTTACATTGATCCTAAAAGCCAGTGGCATAAATCTGACCAATTGTTTGTCTGCGTTGGTGGCTGTAGCAAAAGTTGAAGCAAAGGACATCACATTGAGTGAGGAATGCTAGATCTAAGGTGTAAAAGGCAGTTGGATTGACTTTGCATGTAAGCATTTGTAGACACTGTGCTAGGAGTGTTGCTTCTTTTCAAGCTTTGGCCAGAGGAGTATAGTTGTAAGATTTCTTTGTGCAATTTGCAAATCTAAAACAGGATTCATCCAGGATATCATGCTGAAAACAATGTCATATAATGCCATAATGCTATATGGATGGAGTTATAATGTCTGATAATAAATGATTTCATCAGTAAATTTATGGTAGAGCAAAAAGTATTATACTGGGTAGCATATCCTGCCTTTATCTTGAAAATAATACTGTCTAAATAAATGTAAGCAGTAACAATGTTGTTTTAAAACTTAATATCAGCGTTTCTGTGGGTCTTAAAAAGTCTTGATTTGCCTTTTCATAAATTAAGGCCTTAAAAGGTCTTAAATCGGAGCAGAAAGTCTTAATTCATAGTCACGACATTAATTGTTGCGTGCACTGCAAAAAAATAATATTTTGTTTCCCAATACAAATATCTAAACATCTTTAAATCAAGATTCCTTTACTTGAGATGCAAAATGAAGATATGAAATCTTGGTGTCTGAGAAACTGAACCAAATTTAGTGAGTTTATGCCTAAAACAAGAACAAATATCTGTCAGTGGGGTATGACGACTTGTTTTACTTTTTTTTTTTTTTTTCCCCCAATACTTTTTTCCCCCACCTCAATAGTCAACGGGGACCAGCAACTCTTTGGTTACCCACATTCTTCAAAATATCTTCTTTTATGAAGAGAGAAACTCATTCTCAAGTTGTTCCAACCCTGTATAAGTAAATTATGACGATATTCATTTTTGGGTGAACTATCCTTTTAAAAAGGTCATAAGTCTAAATTTCCCTTCATAAAACCTGCAGAAACCCTGAATATGAATTTAAATTGTGAAAGCATTTCAATCCTGTAGTCTAGCATTGCAGTTTTAATTAAATTGAACATGTCTGGGTTTGGTGTTGATTTGAGCTATATATGAGCTATAGAACCTACCTACAAAGCCCTGGCAATTACTTGGCAACATAATAGCATACATAGTCACAATGTAACATACATGTTAACAGTTGACGTAAGGCTAGGGCTGGACAATATGGCCAAAATTTATATCACGATATATTTATTAACTTCGGTCGATATGATATAATTCCGATATCGATATGAACACTATTTATCTGAAATAGAAATATTTTGTAACATTATAAATGTCTTTATCATCACTTTTGATCAATTTTAAGCATCCTTGCTAAATAAAAGTATTCATTTCTATAATTTCTTTCCCAAAAAAATTATAAAAATTATACTGAATGGAATAGTGTATAATGTAACAAAAGATTTTTTATTTCAGATAAATGCTGATCTTTGGATCTTTCTATTCATCAAAGAATCCTGAAAAAAAAAACTGTTTTAAATATTGATAAGCATATTAGAATGATTTCTGTAGGATCATGTGACACTGAAGACTGGAGTAATGATGCTGAAAATGTAGCTATGATTTACATTTTAAAATATATTCAAATAGAAAGCAGTTATTTTAAATAGTAAAAATATTTCAAATTTTTACTGTTTTTGCTGTACTTTGGATCAAATAAATGCAGCCTTGGGTGAGCAGAAGAGAATTAAAAAAAAAATAAAAATCTTACTGTTCAAAAACTATTGACTGGTAGTGTAGGCTGATTATTCTTTTTTATGATAGATTATTATTATTGTGATAGATTGAAACAAATGTGCTTCAGCCAGAAAAAAAGGGTATGAAAAGTGCTCCGAGTCGCTGCAGAAAACAAAAAAATGTAACAACAAAAAAAACTGGAAATGTTGCTGGAGACTGGCTTATTGAAAATGCAAACTGATTCTCTGCCAGCAGGAGGCGCTTTTAGAGTGATAAAACTAGCGGTTTCCCCGGTAACGGCTGTAATCAAAGCAGCTCCGCTAATGAAAGCTTCTTTATCAGATCAAATGAAAATGCCATCGAAACTTTTCTGAAGACAGTCACATCCCCTTCAGCGATACATTCATATAAAACACCCGCGCCGTGTTATAATTTAGAAACGTGCAGTGCTCATGTTTATTCAATGAAGTCAAAACGCCACAAATAAATCAATTTATGGAAAACACTGGTAATGTATATCGAAATATCGGAAATGTTTAAAAATCATATCACCGTTATTGAAAAAAATTATATCGCGATACATATTGATATTGAATTATTGTCCAGCCCTACGTAAGGCACAATTGATCATTGCATTTTGTGCATACTTGCACAGAATTCCAAACCTTTGTGCGTATGGCCTACCAAAACAGGCCCCTGTGACTCACCATTATGTATATATATTTATCTTGATTTAGTGACATCAAAGTTTTTGCTCATGTTCAGGTTTCTTCATTTTGTTTATGTCTGAATGTAAATGTATAATTCATGAGTCGTCTTTCCACTTACAGAGCAGCCAATCAAAGGAGGGACCCAGAAGATCATTCAGTAGATGAAGAGAGAGATGATGCATACATTGGACATGCACCCTAAAACTACTCTTTCATTCTCCTTCCATACCCCACTTACTGCAATAAAAACAAACTGTAACTGAATGTAACTGTGCTGATCATCATTTCTTAATTTTAACCAGTTATTTGAATACTTGCAGCTTTTATGTGGAACCAATTTATTTCCTTTTTAATGAAAGGTAATAAAATAATATGTAAAAGCTGGGAAGGCAGGAAGAAAACTTGAACACTAAATTCCAAAAGAATGTTTGGTATGTTATTTGTATTGTGTTAAACAAACAAAAAAAGTTATATTTTGATAGAAAGATTTTTAAGCAAGTTTTTAACCATTTAAACCAGTTATCATGTTTTGTTTGTTTGTTTAACATTTGCTTGTAAAAATACATACCACTCCAGTTCAATTGTGCATTTCATGAAATGCGGTCTCATACCATCCAAAATCACCTTCATGTCATCATGCTATACTTTGATTCTAGTTGAGCTTAAACCTAGAAGAATATATATTTGGCCTAGCTGTTCTTTATTCGATGCATTGCTTCTAGTCCATTTGTTGGATGCTTTTTCTTTAACCGAAAGAAATGTACAATTCCCTAGATCACTGATGCCTAGTATACCAAATATGTTTCAGCCCTGATCGTGATCTGGCTTAGTATGTTGTGTCTGCAATTGACTTGTATGCTTTTTCTCATAATTGGAGTCCCCCGTTTTAAATATATGTATCATTCTCTCAGTGATTTGCTGCATTAGTAGATTTCTCTTTGATACCTAAACTATGCTTTGCTAAGGGCAAACATGGCATTATATTTTTGCATTATAGGAGGGCACTGACCTCAGCAACAATTAGATTGGTTATACCCACTTTCTCCTGCTTTTGTTCTGGTTAATCTTTTCTGTAAACGAATAAAAAAAGAGTTTATTTTGATGTATTTATTTATTTATTTTACCCTTGACAATCTGAAGGCTAAAGTGATTTTAACAACTGCTAACACATGGTGTCCATGAATGTTATATAAGCTCTCAGAAAAACACAGTAGAAGTTTTGATGTTCTAGCTCAACATTCAGACATAATATGCTTAATTACTGTCACTGTGTTGATTATTTCATTTAAACTCCTCCCATAATCTGATGATGGAATTACTGATTTAATAATCAAAGATATCAATGCCTTTGTGGACTGAAATACTAAATCTGCCATTGTGCATGCACTCGAAGCACTACCTTCAGAAGCAATTTAACACAGAACATAAAACAAAGGCCACCTGACTAAACATTCTTATAAACACATTATTTATTTATTATATCTTTTATTGAAGCGAAAAAAATCCAACACCTATCAGCCATGTGAAAAACGATTTGATCCCATAAACTTAAAATGTGTTTGTGCCACCTTTAGCAGCAATAATTGCAACCAAATGCTTCTGATAACTGGATATCAGTTTTTCACAGTGCTGTGGTGGAAGTTTGTCCCACTTTTCTTTAGAGAACTGCTTTAGTTCAGTCACATTGGAGGGTTTCGAGCATTACCTGCCCATTTAAGGTACTGGATCAGTGTCTTGCTGTGTAAAACAGCAAGTGAAAACTGTGATTCTCCTTTAGAATTTTCTGGTAGAGAGCAGAATTAATGTTTCCCTCAATTCAGTGGCACAGCAAGACAGCCCCGAACCCATATGCAAAAGCATTTGTACGGGCCACTCATAGGCGGAGGGTGAACCAACTCCAGGGTAAGGCTAAAAGCAGCCAAATGTATTAAACATCGTAAACCCGTCTTTTTAGGCAAGTACCAGACATGGGTGTCATGTAGGCTAATCAAATATGTTTAATGGGACTGAATTTGTATTTAACGTGATTGCAATTTAATAAAAACATTAGAAATGGATCATTATATATGTTATTTCCTTGGTTATTCAAACAGCGAATAAATTATAGGTATATAGAAAGTGACATTATCACTAACTTTGATCTATAGCGAGTTTAAGCACTCTCAAAGAAACAAAACAAAACTCGTTATAATCACTGAAGCTGTACACACTGTGAAATGAATCTCTTGCATTGTACTCGCACGCACTCAAAACTGATGAGTTTCAGTGATTAACTCATCTAAACGTCTCTGATTGGCCATTGCATTCCTAAACTCAATAGAATTGTGTGTGATTGGTTAAAATGCGCAACACTTTAAAAATGCCTAAAATTAAATACGGTGCAACATGAGCAGATCTTAATTTAATGCCACAATCGACACTGTCTATTCATTTTCACTTTGTTAGCAACAGACGTAATGGATTTCATTTGTTTGTGCAGGGGCATTTTTGTCCAATTTAGTGGCATTTTTGCCCCAAATCCCTATGGCCTTACACACGCTCCAGCTATGGGGCCACCCAAACATTATAGGTCAATGTGGGCTTCATCGCTCCTTATTGTTGTCTTTTCTGAGGTGAATAGCATTACATGACTATTCACAAGCTGTTTTATTAATAAAAAAAACATAAATGCTTGGAAATAATATTTAAAGTTTTCATTAGTGGTGCACAAGCCACCCAATAATCGCAATAAGCGTGTTTTGTTACTTTTAATATAACACAAATCGTAGCCTTTAAATTCTGTCAATTTTATCAGAACAATGAACTGAATCAATCATCTATTTGTCTATTAGTTCTAGCACGAGATAAACATGAATGAATATCAGAAGACATGTTGAAAAAAATCAGAACAACTTAAATGAATGTCTCATGTTTAGAAAATCATCAACAAAACCGCTTGTGAATAGTCGTAACATAACATGTACCTCAGAAACGCCAACAATATAACTTTGCCAAAATTGTTTTATTATTTTCATAAATCAGTTAACCGCCACCAGTGTTTGGGAAAGTTACTTTTAAAAGTAATGCATTACAATATTGCATTACTCTCTAAAAAAGTAACTAATTACATTACTTAGTTACTTTTTATGGAAAGTAATGCGTTATATTACTTTTGCGTTACTTTCGCGTTACTTTTTAAATATAAGCAGGGCTTGATTGTTTTTAATATAAGAAGTTCTATTTATAGCAAATATAAAAGCCCTTTCACAAGAAAAAGTGTAATGAATAAACCTCAGGCTGAAGCAAAAGTAAATTCACGTCTGTACAGTAGAACGCAGGAGAAGAAACACTCTTCAGCAATAAAAAAACAATGAAGCACAATTGTTAGTTTATCTAAAGTAATTTTTGCCTATTAGTATGGTTGAACTGGATCATCAAAGGTCAGCAGCAAAGACATTGGTTATTAAAATGGGATTAGATACATTTGTGTTATTTAACATTTTATATTTAATTTCACTGTTTTAGTTCATTTTGATTAATACTAAATCTGTTTTTTGTGAGTGGGATGAATTAATGCACATTCACATTTAGTCTAGAACTACAGTAACATCATGTTCACACAGTGCACACCATTCCTCTGCACTTCCGATTTCTCCCAATATGGGGACAGAAGACTTGTCAGTCAATAAATGGGAAAACAAAGTAACTGGCGTTACTTTTTTGAAAAAGTAAC